AAACAGTACAGTACAATAACACAGAAGACCAGTACAGTACAATAACACAGAAGACCAGTACAGTACAATAACACAGAAGACCAGTACAGTACAATAACACAGAAAACCAGTACAGCACAATAACACAGAAGACCAGTACAGCACAATAACACAGAAGACCAGTACAGCACAATAACACAGAAGACCAGTACAGTACAATAACACAGAAGACCAGTACAGCACAATAACACAGAAGACCAGTACAGTACAATAACACAGAAGACCAGTACAGTACAATAACACAGAAGACCAGTACAGCACAATAACACAGAAGACCAGTACAGCACAATAACACAGAAAACCAGTACAGTACAATAACACAGAAGACCAGTACAGTACAATAACACAGAAGACCAGTACAGTACAATAACACACAAGACCAGTACAGTACAATAACACAGAAGGGCCAGTACAGACAATAACACAGAAGACCAGTACAGTACAATAACACAGAAGACCAGTACAGTACAATAACACAGAAGACCAGTACAGTACAATAACACACAAGACCAGTACAGTACAATAACACAGAAGACCAGTACAGCACAATAACACAGAAGACCAGTACAGTACAATAACACAGTAGACCAGTACAGTACAATAACACAGAAGACCAGTACAGCACAATAACACAGAAGACCAGTACAGTACGAAAATAGAGACCAGTACAGTACAATAACAGAGAAGATCAGTGCAGAACAATAACACAGAAGACCAGTACAGCACAATAACACAGAAGACCAGTACAGTACAATAACACAGAAGACCAGTACAGTACAATAACACAGAAGACCAGTACAGTACAATTCAATTCAAGTTTATTCTCTATAAGGGTTACAATGTGGGGTTTAAAGGTTTTGGGTATTCTATGGTTTACATGTTATAAAATACTAATTACAGAGGGGGCCACTACGACACCTATCATGGCTAGGCATTTCGAGCAGACTTAGATTAATTCTTAACATTTAATCCTTACAGATTATGGTATTAAGGCTAAGTGACTACATCATAATTTGTGAGTTTAGCAATGTGAATGCTTTTGTTTTGGCACAATACAAGGTGTCTATATCGGAGTATCATAGGCAAACTTATGACTAGTTAGGATTTATTATTTTAGGATTAAGATTAGTATTTCTGGGTTTATATTCAGTGGGTGAGTGAGTGTAATTGTGAACCACCAGGTGGTTGTCATGTAGTTAGTTGTCGGGGTGGATCAGGGAGATAAGATGTTTTCTAACTGTAGTTTTGAAAGTGATGAATGTGTCTGCAGTTCTAGAGTTTTCAGGTAGGGTGTTCCAGATTTTAGGTCCTTTGAAATACATTGAATTTTTGTAAAGGTTTAGTCGAACACGGAGAATGTCATAGAGATGTTTGTGTCTGGTGTTTTGCCTGTGGATCCTGTCACAACTATCAAGAAAGCGTTTTAGGTCAAGGTTAATATTGGAATTTAAGGTCCTGTAGATATAGATTGCACAGTAGTAAGTGTGGATGTTCTGAACAGGGAGTAAGTTTAGATCTATGAAGAGTGGAGGGGTGTGTTGCCAGGGATGGGATTTAGTGATTATTCTTACTGCGGCTTTTTGTTGGGTTATTATTGGCTTTAGGTGTGTTGCTGCAGTTGAACCCCAAGCACAGATAGCAGAGGTGAGGTATGATATATAAGTGAATGGTATAGTGTGAGAAGGGCAGTTTGCGGTACGTAGTATCGTATCTTGGAGAGGATCCCCACTGTTTTGGATACTTTTTTTGTTGTGTTCGATATGGGTGCTGAAATTTAGGTTGTTGTCGAGGTATAGGCCAAGGAATTTGCACTCATTATGTCTGGCAATTAGAGTGTTGTCGATCTTAATGTTAAGTTGCACAACACCTGCTCTGCTGCCAAACATAATATAGTAGGTTTTGCCAGTGTTAAGTGCAAGTTTATTGGCTGTCATCCAGGTCGATATTTTGAGCAGCTCCTCGTTAACAATGGTGTTGAGGGTGGCAAGATTAGGGTGGGAGATGACGTAAGTCGTGTCGTCAGCAAAGAGAATGGGTTTCAGGTGTTGGGATATGTTTGGAAGATCATTGATGTAAATGAAGAAGAGCAGGGGTCCAAGGACACTTCCCTGGGGAACTCCAGTATGAAGTGGCCATATTGATGAGGCTGTCTTTAAAGGTGGCATACTGTTACCTATTAGAAAGGTAGGATTTAAAATATGCAAGCGCATGGCCTCTTATACCATAGTGGTCAAGTTTGTGGAGTAGGATGCCATGGTCTACTGTGTCAAACGCTTTTCTTAGGTCAATAAAAATTCCTAGCGGATATTCCTTATTTTTTCCATTGCTGTGTAAAGCAGGTCTAGCATTTTTATAATTGCATCATTAGTGCTTTTATTTTTCCTGAATCCAAATTGGCAGGGGTTGAGTATGTTTTGTGACGTTTTAAATTAATATAGTCTTCCTGTGCACAAGTTTCTCGAAGATTTTGGATAGCAATGGAAAGTTGATATTGGCCTGAGTTGTTTACGTCTGTAGGGTCACCACCTTTATGTTTTGGTGTAACCTTGCTGTCTTGAGTAGTGTCGGGAAAGTGCTAGTTTCTAGTGACTTGTTAAAGTAATGTAATAGCATGCGAAAGGACATGGGCCGCTCGTTTGTACAATAATGGGGGGAAAGTGAGACAGATCCCCGATTTTATTTTTAAGTGACTTTATGATCGCGGTGACTTCCGGGGGCTCAGTTGGTACAAGATAGAAGGAATTTGGGAAATTCCCATCTAGGTAGCCCCCGGGCACGGGCTTTGGTACGGGGGAAATTTTACTGGCGAGATTAGATCCTATGTTTGAGAAGAAGTCGTTTATCTTGTTAGCTGTATCAGTGGGATGAAAGTGGTGTTCATGAGGTTTAGTTAGAACAATATTCTTGGTTCTTTTCATTTGTGAGTCCCCAGAATCTGGGAAAGTGTTTTCCAGGTCTTTTTTATCTCCTCTTGTGTCAGTGAATCTGCTGGAGTAGTACAGCTGTTTGGCTTTCTTTATTAATTTCGTGAGAATTTGAATATTGTTTAAGAATATCTTTGTGTATTAAGCCCTGCTGTATTGCATGTCATATTGGTGTTTTTATCAATGGAATTTCAGAATTTCTGCTGGTTAGCCATGGGGGAACTAAGCCGGTTATTCGTGATCTGTTTTCGTTTTTTATAGGCAATGTTTGTTGTATAGTCTAAGTATTTTGTTAAGAAAAATGTTGCCAATCGTCAATACCATTTGGCATTGGAGAATTCTGTATGCCAGTCAACAGTCTCTAGGTCAGCTGTGAACTTCCTTATTGAGACCTAGTCATAGAGTCTAAATGAAACTTTGTTGTATTCGAGTGGTGGCTTACTAATGTTTGTTAAGAGGAAGGTTGGGTAGTGGTCAGTAGTGCTGTCTGTGATTATCCCTGATTTAAGGGGGGCTAGTATATTGGTCCATATGTGGTCTATTATGGTTGCACTTGTCTCAGTGAGCCTGGTTGGTTTAGTTATTGTTGGTATGAGAAGTGTGTTGTTCATATTGTTGATGAAATCAGTTACAGTCTGATCATCTGGCAGGCCAAGATTGATATTGAAGTCTCCAGCTAAGAGAAGGTGGTGCTATTTTATAGGTCGTGACAGTCAGTAGATTTGTTGCCTTACGCGACTTACACGTGTTAGAACTTTTTCCTTGCCTATTCTTCTTATACTCCTTGACTATAAGTCTTGGTATGGGGGAGTGTGAGGGAAAAGTTCAACAGATAGGAGTAGCGAGTGAGTATATGGTAACGATAGTTTGATTGCCAGCTGCTTGTTAAGGTAGGGTCAGTCTAGCTCCCGTTATCCCCCCCCCCCTTTTCTCCTCACCCCGAAAGGTGACGCGTGGGGCTCCGGCCAAACAGTAATCACTCGACTCACAGCTCCCAGCACAACTGTAAGTAAAAGCCTCTGCTCCTATTCTAGTGGATATTGGTTGGAAGCTTCACTTTTGACCAATAATAAACTTAGTCCTTTCAGTTTTAAGCTCCACATGAGACTTTTAGATAATCACCACCTTTTTTGAGTATCTTACACTTATCATGGAGAGTGATTTCTTAAGCAGTGGGTAACCTGTCTCTCTTTCCAGCTTGGAATGACAGCTCGGGTTACCTGCCAACCAACAAGAAGTGTTGAAGGAAACGGACTGAAAACGGTCTTGGGACATCACTTCATGATCTACCTACCTGATTAATTGTACAGGACACTACCCCTCACCTTTGCAGTGGTAAAGAACCTGCGTTCCTGTCATCTGGACTGACTATTCAAGGCTATAGACTCTGAAGAATTAGTCATTGGGTTGTCACTCAACACCTGTGCCCTCCCCCCCACATCATCAGCAATGGCTACAATTTCTACAAGACGGTGTCAACATCAACCAGACACCCCAGTATAACTGTACATATTAGCGTTGAATTCAATGTCATTTTTTCATTTCATTTTTCATTTTTCTTTCAAGTAGGATACACCTTCATATTTCAATGTTTTATCTTTGCATTAATAAATAATAAAGTGTTTATCTTCGTGAATTATTATTTCTTTTTCTATTCATTAATTTTCCTGAGGAGGAGCCAGCCTGAGTAATACTGTCTGAAGTTGTTACAGGGCTGAGTAAGCCTTCACAGGGGAAGAGGAACAAAATTCTTCCTTCATAAGCGATGTGTATTGTAAGAGGCGACTAACAAGCCCGGGAGCAAGAGGCTAGTAACCCCTTCTCCTGTATACATTACTAAAATTATGAAGAGAAACTTTTGTTCTTTTTGGGCCACCCTGCCTTGGTGGGATATGGCTGGTTTGTTGAAAGAAGATAAAGGTTGTAATTGGTATTATTTCTACACTAACTTCAAACCAGGGTCAAGATTGTGTGGTAGTTGCATAAAGCAGAATCAAGTTAGTATTACAAGTCTCTACTACAACAATAATAAAACAATTTAAAAGGATAACATAAAATGTATTTAATTATGAAAAAATTATTGCAACAATAATTTTAGAAGGGTAACATAAAATGTTTTTAATTATTTGATTATGAAAAATTACTGCAACAATATCAAATAGAACATCTATTATCTTTGTAATGAACTTTCTGAAAAAAAAAATTACGAAAAATGTATTTACAAAGTATTTTCATAATTTTATTAAATACTGTGGAATACATGTCATCATTACAAGAACAACAATAGGGTGGTCTTACAGATGTATAGGCACTTGGATTCATTATCACATGCTAATATCAAGCCTAATATCATTAATAACTTCAGCACTGCCTAACGATGCAATAAAATAGTCCAATGAGTGTGCTTATCTACTAACATTTAGTAATAGCAAATTCTGTAAGTTATCATGCTACTGACATTACTGTAATTCACAGAGCATTAATAAATCATATCTACTAAATGTAAAATTTCTGATAAAACACTAAAAAAATATATATATTTCTTATGAGAATATTTGGATAAATTGGCCAATTACTTATGCCAGTCCAGACATTTGCTTTATTTCTGAAATCAGATGGTGATTGTATTTCTTTGGATCCAATTTCAAGCACTCAACAATTGCATGCTTCAAATGGCTTTCATCCTGCAAAAAAATCAATAAAACTAAGTTATAAATCTGAGAAGCAGAAATATAAATATTATTTCATATACACATTACCTATGTCTACTCACAGCAATAATATTATGATGCAATATGAGATGTTACATGGATCCCTACTTGCTCCTGTAATACTTTAATTTACAATTCATAAGAATTTCTTTGCAAACAATGCAAGATAAATAATTAAAATGCAAATCTTTACAAGATGACTTAAATATATTGAGCAAATGCAGTGACAGTTGGCTGAAGGAATTCAGTGGTGACAGAAGCCATGCACTGTAAATTGTCGAGAGAGAAATCATACAGAGAAAGGAATCTGAGAAACATTAATATGAAATAGACATTAGACAGGCATTAGACTTTGGCCTGGTGGCAAAAGCTCTCACTTCACACGGTGAGGGTTCGGGTTTGATTCACGGCAAAGGGGTGAAAACATCGGATGTGTTTCCTTACACTGGTTGTCTATGTCCACCCATCAGTAAAATGGGTACCTGGGTGTTAGTCGACTGGTGTGGGTCGCATCCTGGGACAAAGCTGACCTAATTTCCCTGAAATGCTAAGCAATAACGAGGGGCTTTCCATACAGTAGTATGTCAGTGATGTCAGCTAGGCCTCTATACCTTGTACATGTACTTGTAGTAAATAAAGATATAATTATTATAAACTCATATTCTACTGTGGCTAACTATAAAATTAAGTTTCAACTGCTTGGAAGAAATGCTGTTCATAACATTTTTTTTCCTAACACAATGACTGTCTCTCATCAAGGTGGGGTGACTTACAAAAGAAACACTTTTATTACAATTTACTCAATAACCATCTTCCCAGAAGTGTACTGACATCTCTACCCCTCCTTCATCGTGCCGTCACCATACCTTCCACCTCCTACATTTAAGATCAGTACATATTTAGGCATTCTTATTTTGTGCCTCCCTACTACAGCACCTATGCTGCCTCCTAGTGGACTTAGCTCTTGCTAGAACTCTGCACAGCAGACCCTGTATCTCTCTCACTGACCGGACAACTGCAGGACAAGCCAGACATCCTCTTTCACTCTCTTGCTAGGCCTACAGCCTTGGTTTGGCTAGCAACTAAACTCGCTTTGTCTGTTATACCAGCCATGCTCATACCAATCTACAAACCAACCACCAAAACATTTTTTTTATTTTTATTTTTATTTTTTTCCCTTTGCAAATAGTACATTTAGATTATGTATTTACAATAATAGGTTGCAATGCAAAGAGAGCCTCTCTTATGCCTAGGCATTATGGGCCAATTTAACATTATTGGCTTACTGACTACTTAACACTAAGAATTATGTCATAGTTGTACAGTAGAATATTAATTATATCATAGTTGTACAGTAGATTATTAATTATAAGTGAATCTAATCTGTAAAAGACAAAAGATATATTCATATATTCAAAGATGCTTTTTGTGAAAATAATGATTCAATTATATTCCTGTCGACAATTTATTTATTTATTAATTTGAACATGATACATAGAAGTAGAAAGAAATACAGTGGTTAAGTGTAACATGCCAAAGCCCCTTGTATGCAGAGCATTATGGGCAGGCTTAAAATTAACTTAAGATTAACTAAGCAATGATATATTCAGTGGTAAACATTATTGTAAACAGATAACAATTAAGCACAAATGGGTATTTCAAAGACAGATCATATGGTCATTTACTGTGTTGCTGTGCATTCACTAGAATGGAGTATTCTGTTAGGTAATGTAATTAAAAATAGCAAAGTTTGATTGGGTCACAGGTTAAACATTTATGAGATACAGTGAAACATATAAGTGAACAGTATTTAGATAAGGCTAAAGAGGTCTTTGTGGCATTTATGGATTTGGAAAAGGCGTATGACAGGGTGGATAGGGGGGCAATGTGGCAGATGTTGCAAGTGTATGGTGTAGGAGGTAGGTTACTGAAAGCAGTGAAGAGTTTTTACAAGGATAGTGAGGCTCAAGTTAGAGTATGTAGGAAAGAGGGAAATTTTTTCCCAGTAAAAGTAGGCCTTAGACAAGGATGTGTGATGTCACCGTGGTTGTTTAATATATTTATAGATGGGGTTGTAAGAGAAGTAAATGCGAGGGTCTTGGCAAGAGGCGTGGAGTTAAAAGATAAAGAATCACACACAAAGTGGGAGTTGTCACAGCTGCTCTTTGCTGATGACACTGTGCTTTTGGGAGATTCTGAAGAGAAGCTGCAGAGATTGGTGGATGAATTTGGTAGGGTGTGCAAAAGAAGAAAATTAAAGGTGAATACAGGAAAGAGTAAGGTTATGAGGATAACAAAAGATTAGGTGATGAAAGATTGAATATCAGATTGGAGGGAGAGAGTATGGAGGAGGTGAACGTATTCAGATATTTGGGAGTGGACGTGTCAGCGGATGGGTCTATGAAAGATGAGGTGAATCATAGAATTGATGAGGGAAAAAGAGTGAGTGGTGCACTTAGGAGTCTGTGGAGACAAAGAACTTTGTCCTTGGAGGCAAAGAGGGGAATGTATGAGAGTATAGTTTTACAACGCTCTTATATGGGTGTGAAGCGTGGGTGATGAATGTTGCAGCGAGGAGAAGGCTGGAGGCAGTGGAGATGTCATGTCTGAGGGCAATGTGTGGTGTGAATATAATGCAGAGAATTCGTAGTTTGGAAGTTAGGAGGAGGTGCGGGATTACCAAAACTGTTGTCCAGAGGGCTGAGGAAGGGTTGTTGAGGTGGTTCGGACATGTAGAGAGAATGGAGCGAAACAGAATGACTTCAAGAGTGTATCAGTCTGTAGTGGAAGGAAGGCGGGGTAGGGGTCGGCCTAGGAAGGGTTGGAGGGAGGGGGTTAAAGGAGGTTTTGTGTGCGAGGGGCTTGGACTTCCAGCAGGCATGCGTGAGCGTGTTTGATAGGAGTGAATGGAGACAAATGGTTTTTAATACTTGACGTGCTGTTGGAGTGTGAGCAAAGTAACATTTATGAAGGGATTCAGGGAAACCGGCAGGCCGGACTTGAGTCCTGGAGATGGGAAGTACAGTGCCTGCACTCTGAAGGAGGGGTGTTAATGTTGCAGTTTAAAACTGTAGTGTAAAGCACCCTTCTGGCAAGACAGTGATGGAGTGAATGATGTGAAAGTTTTTCTTTTTCGGGCCACCCTGCCTTGGTGGGAATCGGCCAGTGTGATAATAAAAAATTATTTAGTATTTATTTAGTTGTGGGTGAGTAAGTGATTTTTAAGTAGAGACTTGAATTTATAAACAGTGTTTCTTTTATATTCACAGGTAATGAATTCCAGATTTTTGGGCCTCTTATGTGCATTGAATTTTTGCATAGTGTGAGATAGACACGAAGAACATCAAAGAGTGATCTGTGCCTTGTGTTATGGTCATGTGTTCTGCTGAGGTTGGTAAGGAGACGTTTGAGGGGAGGGTTTATATCCGAGTTAAGTGTTCTATGTATGTAGTAGGTACAATAATAAGTATGGGTGTTTTGTATGGTGAGTAGGTTTAGAGTTTTGAATATTGGTGGAGTGTGCTGCCTGTAGTGGGAATTTTTTTATCATTCTGACTGCAGCCTTTTGTTGGGTAATTAATAGTCTGAGATGGTTTGTTGTTGTTGAGCCCCATGCACAAATTCCATAGGTGAGACAGGGGTAAATAAGAGAGTGATATAGGGCCAGGAGGGCTGACTGTGGAACATAGCACTGTATCTTCAATAGTATGCTTACGGTTTTGGAAATTTTCTTGGAAATTTCTTGTATATGTGTTTGAAATTTGAGTCTATTGTCAAGGTGGATTCCTAAGAATTTTCTCTCTGTGAGCTTTGTGATAGGTGATCTGTTTATCATTATGTTAAGAGACACATCTGTAGCTCTGTTACCAAACTGAATGAAGTAGGTTTTGTCAATGTTGAGAGTAAGTTTGCTAGTCCTCATCCAGGTAGATATTTTCTGTAATTCGGTATTCACAGAATTAGCTAGCATGACTGGGCTCGGGTGAGAGAAGACGTATGTAGTGTCATCTGCAAATAGTGTGGGTTTGAGTAGTTGCGATGCATTTGGTAGTCATTTATGTAAACAAGAAAGAGAAGGGGGCCAAGGACACTTCCCTGCGGGACACCAACTGTAATTGGCTGTGTGGAAGAGTTTGCTCCATTTGTGTACACATATTGGCTTCTGTTGCCGAGGTATGACTTTAGGTAGTTGAGGGAGTGCCCTCTTATACCATATGCGACAATTTTATGTGGAGCAAATCATGGTCAACTGTATCAAAAGCTTTACGTAAATCAATGGAGATCCCCAGTGGGACTCCTTTTCTCTCTAGTGCAGTGTATATTTGCTCCAGCATGTGTATAATAGCATCATTCGTATTTTTATTAGGCCTGAACCCAAACTGACAAGGGTTGAGTATGTTGTGGGAGATGAGATAGGAACAGATTCGTTTATAAATTAATTTTTTGAAGATTTTAGAGAGAGGGTGTAAGTTGGATATTGGCCTGTAGTTATTCAAGTCTGTTTGGTCTCCTCCTTTATGGATCGGAGTGACCCTCGCTATTTTGAGAACTGTAGGGAAGGTAGAGGATTCGATGGATTTGTTAAAGTGTTGCTATGATTGGTAACAGCACTTGCGATGCTTTTTTGTATATAAAGGGTGATAAGGTATTTAAATCTCCTGTCTTTTTTTAGTATGCTGATAGTAAGGGAGACTTCTGTTGGGCTAGTTGGAGCTAGGAACAGTGTGTTTGGGTAGTTGCCAGTGAGGTAGTCATTGGGTGGGGTATTTGAGCTTGGGATTTTATTGGCAAGGTTTTTTTCCTATGGTGGAGAAGAAATCATTGAGTCTGTTTGCTGTTTCAGTTGGTGGGAGTTGGGGTTCATCTGGTTTTGTTAGTTGAATTGCACTATTTTGTGATATCTATTTTGTTCATAGAATTTCTGACAGGGTTTTCCAGGTCTTTTTTTATATCACCTAAAATTTTAAGCTGGA